TGACAGTTTGAATGCCGTCCGTGTTCAGCATTAACTTTTGCGCCAGCCGCCCTTTTATATGACCTGTGACGTCACTCCTCGAGATTTAGTTGCGCGAGCTAATGGCGGTTCTGAACACGGAATATTTACTTCTATAAAACAAATTGCTGGACAAACAGTGAGTTCTTCGTCTTTATTGGCATCCGCGCCGAAGCGCGACGCCCTGATGGAATGAAATCAGATTTTATGAAAGGGCAATTGCAACTTCTCGAGCCTTTTCGTCTGCCATAATAGCCGAACATTCCGATTGGTATGAGTGTTTGATTATCTTAAATGAAATGTATCGATTTGTAAAATGAATAGCGAACTGGCTAATTTCGCAAAGTAAACATATTCAGATGAAATTATCTTATCCGTCAATTAATTGCACTCCTCGGTATTTTTATTACACAATGGGTTATTTTGTGTATTATTGCTTTACCTATAAATAAAATGATGACCTGAACATTGTGAAAGTCGGAAAACTTATTTAAAGAAGTAGTTTTAGTTTACCGAACCGGTCATTCGTGTCGCATCGAACTGGAGAATTTTCAAGAAATTAAATACAAACATATTTAAACAATTAATTGCAATCTTTAAGTAGGCAATTTTTACGAATTGTTTTATCATAGTATTATCATTTTTCGTCTGCAATTTTCACATGAGTTGTTATGGGTTCATTGTTCATTGGCATGTAAACAAACTGATGGGTCAGACTAGGTCATTAAAATAGTAGAATGACCTCCCAAATAAATCAATTAACAGACTTTGTTCATTTTGACTATGTTGTATGTTCCAAAGAAAATACCACATGAACTTGAAATTCTATCAAACAACCAATATTATACCATATCGGGGGTATATTTTGGATATTATAGACCTGTATATTTTGGATATTATCGTTAACATCGATGTTATTTAAGTTCCTGTGGAAGAAACATTTAATATTCAAATCTCTAGCATGCGTACCAAAGTTCATGATGAACAATGTCTTTCGTCCGCCCATTCATAAATGAATTACAATACTGGTTAAAACCAATGAACCATTGAAAAGTTTATAAGAATATCTGGTCATCAGATGTCTACAAGTTCATCTTCACTTGCTGCATTTTTTGCTTGGACGCCTTTTGATGCTTTGCATCAATGCTTTTCTTGTAGGCTTACTATAATATTGTTCAATTTTCATTCTTGAATTCGAAGAGATTTTAATTGCCACATGAATTATTAACTAGGAAGACATGTGCGTGCGTGCGTGTGCTTGTGTACTTTCAAAATATTCTCACACTCACCAAACAGAATTTTTTAACTACACAACTTTCAGTTTTGAATAATTTTCCTTTCTATCAATCAGTGTAGCAATACCACGTGACATTGACGTCATTTTCGGCATCATTTCCAAGACAAATATTGCTCGATTCGGAAAAGAAAATAGCCGTAAATATTTTATTTCTGTACAAATTTCTTTGGGATATGCACCAGTCTACGGGGAAAAATATAAGCTTTCCACAGAATATTGGATCTTCGTCAGTTTATAAGCCGTTTTATCAAACACTTTGCATAACCTTGGAAGTTGCTTGTATTATAGCGGGCTTCAGTTGCAAGCTATTTCGTTTTCTGGCGTAAACTGGTCTACGCAATGATTAAAAAGTCAGGTTTACATCAACCGAGAGTACGGAAGGCAAAACTCTACCTAAATATGTTCATATTTTTATTATGAATGACATAAATCTTACATTTTTCTTCAATTGTCAATTCTGGCACCAGTTCCAAGTCGAAAACAAGGACTAAAGTTTAAAGCAGATTTTAGAATCCGTTGCAAATGCGAAGCAAAATGCCTACCGTTCTCTTTCTACAATTTAGTTTTTCATTGTTGATCTTTCACAGAGAGATTGTGAAAAACTAATTGTTCCTTAAAGTAATAACACTTACTTGTATCGCAATAGTGCACGTCAAATCACGTAGATTTAGTCCTGTCGAAAAAAATATTTTGGTTTCGTTTTGAAGATGTTTAAAGTATTGCTCATATTCTCCTATGTAGTAAAATGTGTTTTATTCTATTTCACAATGGAGAAATTGATAAGAAATATATGTGCCCTCAGTGAGAGAAAGAGTTAAAATAAAAAAAACAAAAACTTTTGTATGCTACGGAAAAGGTTACACTTTAACGCGAGTGTTGTAAAGCTTAAGGTAATTTTTTCAGTATATTTTTTGTAACGGAGTAACTGACAAACACTGACACTCGTGAATGTGACGAATAGGTTCTTCTGTGATCAAAAGAGACTTTTAAAAGGTATATATTTTTTCTGAAATTGCCGTATTATAAATTTCTATTGAGTTTGATAAACGAAATCACAATTTAAGTACTATGCACATGTATCGGTATTAAAATCATGAGAATTGTCACGCGCATTAACATGACGTTGACATTTTATGCTTATTAAACTATAAGCACTTTCATCATCAGTCAGATTTTGTTCTTTGTGTAGAACAATTTTAAATATCATTGCATATAACTTGGAACTATGCCGTGTAAACCTGATAGTATTGTTACTAAGTTGCATTACTTACGATTCTCTATTTATCAAAAAGGCCCAAAATAGCCATGAGTCGCCAATAAAGAACGAGAATGGACGCCATGTGAAGTAAACAAAGTAGAAAATAGTAAACAGATAAATGATTTTACAAACCAACAGCCATCAATCACAGTCAAATTTCTTGAACCAAAACATTCATAAAGACGGAAATAACAATGATTATCAATAATTATATAAATATTTACATTCAGATAATTAACTTATTTGGCATATGCATCATGTTTATCATGTTTTAGATTTTAATGTGTGATCCTTTTTTAAATCTTAAAATGCTACAAAAGTCCTGTTGAGGACATCTGCAGGTCATGCCGCGTGCAATAATCCATACATTTACAGCCAATGACCACATCGATAAGAAATAGTCCCAAATAGCCCTATCGTTTTTATTCAGTTGAAAGAGACATTATTGTTAAAAAATTCTACTTTCAAACCATAAATATTCTGTTCCCTTCTTCTCTTTACAATGTGTATTGGTGAGCTCTCTGATAAAGCTGGGTTGACTGATATAATTACTAAATTTGTTTATCAACAGAAACAAATGCAATAATGAAATAAATAGTGTTTAGTGTTCTTAAGTGAACGAAGTTATATCCAGTTCACGAAAAACGGTTACCGTGGGTATGAAAACAGGATGTAAAAATAGTGTCACTGTGTTAAAAAACTGAATATATCATACTAAATCATTGCTACATGTTCTTTACCAAACATATATATGGTTATACGTATAAATAACTCTTTACTTTGACTTTAAAATTGCTGCGTTGAGGCGTAACCCTTTTCACAGCATACAAATGGAAGTGATCCTGAATGTGCACGTTCATTGCACAGGCTAGCTAAGTCAAACCGAGCCTGCAACATTTTCAATTTTTGCCATTTTGGGCGATATTTAGTTTCTGTTTTCTCTCTATTTTGAATATTCCACGTTAAGTATTGCTACATGACACTAATAGATTTTTCATAATCATTACCGTGAAAGAACAATGATTAAAGAGCAAATCAATTTCTTTACAAATACTGACAACAATATTACGACTTTTAAAATCACATATAGCGCAGCGAGTAAAAATCATTTTAATATTCATTTGTGTTTATGTAAATCGTATAATAAATAAAATGTTTTTCATGGTTAACATAATTATAGAAAGAGAACGGTAGGCATGTTGCATTGCAATTGAAACGGATTCTAAAATCTGCTTTAAACTGTAGTCCTTGTTTTCGACTTGGAACTGGTGCCAGAAATGACAATTGAAGAAAAAGGCAAGATTTACGCCATAAATAATAAACATATAAACATATTAAGGTAGGAATTTGCTGTCTGTACCCCCGGTTGATATAAACCTGACCTATTAATCATGGCGTAGACCAAATAATGTCAGAATACTAAATAGCTTGCAACTGAAGCCCGCTATAATACAAGCAACTTCCAAGGTTATGCAAAGTGTTTGATAAAACGGCTTATAAACTGACGAAGATCCAATATTCTGTGGAAAGCTTATATTTTCCCCGTAGACTGGTGCATATCCCAAAGAAATTGGTACAGAAATAAAATATTTACGGCTATTTTCTTTTCCGAATCGAGCAACATTTGTCTTGAAAATGATGCCGAAAATGACGTCAATGTCACGTGGTATTGCTACACTGTCAATGCTTTAAGCAAGTTAGTGTTTGTATTAGAAACATCTATTAAATTTTAAAAACATTTTAGTTTTCAACTATTGCAGTAAATAAGTCGTTTTTCCGCAGTTTTAAAATTAGAACGTACAAAGAATAAGGTTGAATGCCATTCAAATACAAAACGTATATATTATGTTTGACATATATCAGTAACGGATGTATTTATGTAAATTTGTATCACGAATAACAAGTAATCAACATAATATTTTTACCAGAGGAAATGTTAGTAGAGGAAATGTTAGTATATCATTTATCTAGCATTTCTATGCTCAGTTTATATAATTTAGAAAAGACCAAACCATAATTAGGTAAACTTTCTTAGTCCGTCTGCGATAGTTTAACATAGAATTTTTCCAGTCTTCACACACCCGCCTTAACAACAACTGGTTGATAACATATATTTTTGTAATGACAACCAGGAGTAAAATTAGGCAATAGTTGTTTGATACATTAAATAAGCGTTCCACTTAAAAGTGTAATGAATAACGACAAAATAAAATGCCAAAAGTAATGGCCACATGTTTCCTCTCTTATGTCTATAAAATACATTGACATTTTATCTCAGCTATAAACCTGATAGTCATTTTATCTGAATAATGTTATTATATAATTTTCACATTTATTGTAGTATTCTGTCTTTTTAAAGATCATAAATAGAATCTATCATGAAATTTTGTAATGATGATATTTAGATAAACAAATGGGGGTAATTTTCTGAAACATCATAAAGAACATGCAATTACCATATTAACGAGCCTTAGACTGTCGAATTATATCAAAGTGATACAAGTAACAGTTCAGACCATAAGCTTGTTCAGAACGTTACTATAAAAGCGGACAATCGGACTGACAATGAAATCTGGTAAGAAATTATTTTACATAAGAAACTTATAAAAACAGAATGATCTTTCAGTGTCGAATTTCAATAAAAAGGATTTGTTGATCTGAAATAAAAGATTTTTGTTGGTATCAATGTTCTTGGTTTGTCACTTATTAGTCCCCTACCGGTTTAACCGGAGGGGACTTTAGGTTTACCCTCCGTCCGTCTGTCTGTCTGTCTGTCAGTCCGTCCGTCCACAAAACTGGATCCTGCGATAACGCAAAAAGTACTGAAAATATTTTTATGAAACTTGATATATGGATAGATGGCAGTATGGAGATTATGCACGTCATTTTCTTTTCTTCCTATGTTGAAAATTCTGGTTGCTATGGCAACAAATAGTCTGAAAATATGGCAAATTTAACACATAAACTGAATCCAGTGATAACTCAAAAAGTACTGAAAATATTTTTATGAAACTTGAAATATGGGTAGATGGCAATCTGCAGATTATGCACATCTTTTTCTTTTCTTCCTATGTTGAAAATTCTGGTTGCTATGGCAACAAATAGCCTGAATTTCAAGATATCTGATATAAATTTTTCAGCTTTTTCACTATAAGTTCTTTTTTTCTTAAGGTGTTTACTTCAAACTTTAAATATAAGTTTCTGGTCATCAACCACATCATATGTGACAAGGATTACAACTCTAGCACAAAAATTATCAGTATTACCTCCCTTGAACTTAGAATTTTTATGAAAAAAAAATGTTGTCTTTTTTAAATAACTTCTTTATTTCCTAATGTATCTACTTGAAACTTCATATATATGTTTCTTATTATCACTCAACATTTTTTATAAGGTTAAATACTCTAGCAAGACTATTTTCAGAATTATGTCCCCCTTAAACTTAGATTTTTTTCGAGAAATTGGTATTTTTTACTCCCAACTTCTTCATTCCTTATAGGATTTACTTTAAAATCCTACATCGTAATAATATGACAAGGTTGTATAAACATAATTACCTTACTAGGCAGGGAAACTTAACACATTACTGTGAAATAGACAAACTTAGAACTCAAAAGATTTAAGTTCATTCATGTCATTCATTCACTTGTAAAATTGAAATCAGAATGTTGCTGGGATTCTAACCGGTAGGGGACTTATGGATTGCTTGCAATACTATGATAATTTCTTGTTTTACATCATTTACAGTATAATTGTTGCTGTTTCTGTTGTGATTTTTTTCCATGCTTTCGTTGAAATCATCATCAACATCATAATACTATTATAAGTTATAATTATTATAAAGGCACAAAAATATTCTAGCTATATTAAAGCATACAAAAATGAAGTTCGACCAATTTCTTCCATAGGCCTGCAACAGTCATATTTGTATTTCAGAATTCATTCTTATCTATCTAACATGTGCCCTGGTCCGGGCTTTGATAGTGAGAAACTCCGATGAAATCTTTGAATGTGACACTTACGAAGACGTAACAAACAAATTCAGTTCATGCTTCAAGTCCGAAAGTAACGTTGACTTTGAGCGGATAGTAAGTCTGTATAATGATAATGACCACGGTGACCGTATTACGAGGGGAGACATACTTACAGAAGTGGGACTGATATGCAGGTAGAGTCTATACTAGCAACAATAAATTCCTAGAGTGAGCGAATTAGCTGTCGAACCTTCTTACCTTTGCCGATGAGGCACATATATATGCAGTAGTCATTTGCTAACCAGGCTTCTGCACACCTGGTTGGTTTAAGGAATAAGGGTGGAAGGGACATTTGACAACTGATTTATGTGAAGAAACAAAATATTGGATTTTCTTGAAAACAGACTCTTTTGATTTCGTTGATTTGGTTGGTTTTTGTGTGTGTTTTTTTGTTTGTTTTGTTTTTGTTGATTTTTTTTTGTTATTGTTGTTGTTTTGTTTTTGTTGTTAGTTTTTTTGAATCGATTTGACCGACGAAGTCGAAAATTGACTATTTCAAGCATAGATCGCCATGATTCATTTATTCACAGCTATTTTATACTTTACCATGTAAGGTTTACCCATTTGTGTGCATTGAACTATCATTTCAAGTACATTTTAAAATTCATACTTAATCTTGTTTTCAGTGCCACTGATAGGAGAGATGCCTTTGTTCAATGTAAGAACAACATTGTTGAAGAATGCCCTGATGTCGAACCATTTATTACAGCAGCATTCAAAGCAAAATTCGACTTCTTCTGCAAAGATGAGCAACCGTCTGAATGGATCCAAGAAGGTAAGTGTTGTTTATTATTTAGTAAGGTCTATCAATCAACGATTTCTATTATGATGTAACAAATGATATACACGATTAATCGATGCAGCCATCATTACTAATACCTGTCTTTGCCTACATCCGTGCCGTCTAACAGAGTAGTATGCAATTTTACAATAAAAGCAAAGGATATATAATGTAATGTGTTTTATGTGTTAAAGTTTTATTCATAATGGAAAAGTAAATAGTCCCTGAATATAACTCCTGCTTCACGATGATCGATCTAACATTATCATAACTGTTGTTTTTAATGCTGTTGTTATTGTTTTTTTTGGTGGGGAGGGGGTTGGTGGGAAGGGGGTGTTGTTGTTGTTTCCGATCATCTTCAAGCACCAAATCAAATCAATTTTTGTTTTCAACAGTATTTTATGAAGGTTATCAATTCACCATTCCCTGTGAAGGTAACTATGAAGTATATGAAAATATTGGAACATGTGCGCAAACCGCTGGTATTAGGGATGGTCTTATGGATGCTAGTAATTTAAACATCACCTCCGCTTGGTCGAGAATACAGAGGTAACTAATTTAATCAGCTATTAATAAAAATGTACTGCTAGTGGTTGTTGTGGTAATAGTGACAGGAACAGTCGCACTTCTGGTGATGGTGGTCGTTACAGTAGTGGATGTAGAACTTACAAGTGTATTGTTAGTGATACTTGTGTAGGTTGTGGTAGCGGTATAATTAGTGGAAGGGTTATAGCTGCAGCGGCTTTACCGTAGTGGAAGTGGAAATAGTAGGACAGTTGCAGTTGTAGTAGAAGCAACACCAGTAACAGTGGTATTAATTGTATTGATTGCGTGTTTTTGTCAAATTGGTTTTGATGTGCACTAAACGCAATTTAAGTCATATTGCGCCGAAACAGAAAAGATTAAGACAACAATAACTGAATAAAAACAGTTAAGAGCTAACAATTAAACAAAACTGCATTAAACTGATAGAATAATTTATACAAGATTGTAAAAATGTAAATTAAACTTAGCTTCTTGTTAAAGTCTTCTCCAGGACTGGTTCGAATGCGCTGTTCCAGAAGAATCACTTTCAGATGAATTAGGATGTGGATCAACTAAGGCAGACCTCCTAACAGCATATGCGGTATATGCATTCTCTGGGTCAAATATCCTTTCTCCACCCATCGGTGAGGTGGCAAAACAGAGGTTACTGGTATGTTTTATTTTGTAAATTATATTACTCAAACAGTCAACGGAATTTTCACTTTCACTCAAGATATTACAAATTAGTAATGTTAGACTAAAGTCTTAACAGGATGTAAAATATGTTAAATGTCGTTATAAACATAGGTCAGTGTTTGTTTTGCTAAAATGATAGCTGGGTTCATACATGTATATTTTTCTATTAATATCAATCTAAATGTTCTATAAATATCATTTGAATTCATATTTGTGTACTGCTTGCAGTTTGTTATTTAGCCACTCGAAGTATACCAGTCCGAGCTTACATTTGAGTGGAACAATAAGTAATTGTACATTCTCTTTCCCTCATTCGTTCCGTTACTAGTAGGCTTTTATATGATCAAATCATTGTATTTTTCCTGAAAGGTGCTGTTATTAGCTATAATTTTGTTATTTATCAATGGATTGTCTTCATACTTATACTAGACAATCATTTGGTCGACAAATCTAGGGAGGCCAAACTCCCTTGACCTTTACCTTTAAATGACAATTTTCTATAACTTTGAAATTGGCAGATTTAACTTTTGAACCAGAAAACACCTAATTACAAAACCAACATGTTGAATACATGTTATTTGCAACCTTGACTTTGAAAAAACTTGACCTTAAAGGTCACATTATTGGATTTGTAAAAAAACATCTTAATTTTGTTGTTAATAGACACATTTTGATTCATACTTGGAAACAATTTAGAGAAAAATAGCATCACGTTAATTATTTTAACGATCTCGTCCGTTGTCTTTTGTGTTCTTAACCAGTATTCGGAGGCGGATATAAAGTAAACAAATTTCTTTCCAAAAACTTAATATCGTATCATATATATATATATGTAACAGTGAAAGATACAAACCTAATTTCTATCTTTTACAGAGCGCTGCCCTTTCCAGGCAACAATTTGAAAAACAGTTTTCGAGTGAACAATAGATGTCCATCTCTTACCATGTATACGGATTATTTTAAAAATATAGTTTGAAATTATTCAGTCTTCAGTTTATACAGAATTTATTTTATTGCTACTGTTTAGGGAGCTGTGAACTTATAGACACAGTCTTTTTCATCTGTTCCTAGAACCATCCAGCACTTAACAATGGGTGTGAAGCTTCTTGCTTAAAGGGGCGTCGGCTTGCCATTAATCTTAATGCTTAACCATGATGGTTTTTTTTTTATTCTTTTTTTTTTTTTAAATAGAATAATAATTAACATACATACAATGTAAATAATTAGAAATACAGTGTAAAATCAGGACCAACTATATGTTTAACCGTGGTGATAATATTGCAAAAACACTGCTAGTGTAGGCACGTATATCTGATAACACATTGTCACCCATACAAAAAAAAAAACGAAACAAACAAAAAACACTTTATAACTAGTAACCTATTAACGATTTCCTTTTCTTGGCATGTCAACTTTTACCGTAAGTAAAATCGCTAAATTTTGCATTTATAAAATATATGTGCAATAGCAATCAGTTTTTTACCATCTTTATTAACAGTTAACCTGCACATGTATGTTTTTCAATCCTTATAATTAAGGCATTCTGTAAAGTTTCTGGTTGTTCCCCCATATTTAAACCTTAAATTAAAAAGGAATGATTCCATTATTTTTGAACCTGAATATATTACCGTTCTCCTCGATCAAATATATCTCATATTTTTTGTTATATGTATAATTATGTGTATGTTGCTACTAATTTTTCTATTTGTGTCACATAATTGTTTCAATTTTTTTTTAACTGTTATATTCAATGGTTATACAATACTAACTGGTTAATTTTATCTGAATTACGTGTTTATGTACAGACTCAATCAAACCGAGTCTGCAATTCTCATGTAATTTTGTTGTGATTAATGCTTCCGAGGGATCACTTTGTTTCCAAAATTTTATAAACAAAAAAGGACTATACAGGTCTCAAGGTTGTAAAAAAACATCCCTCACGCCCCTTGCACCGGTTTGATTGGTACTCAATTCTCAACACTTAATATTGCTGACATTAATGATCCCGGCGGACCAGAAAAATATAATAACACTGAAGTGAAGTACGGGGCAACTTTTTACAGCTGCCACACAGTGTACATTCTGAGCTTGTTTCTGACCAGTCACTTTCTTACGATCTGAGATAGAACTTCCAGACCCTGATTGGATAATGCATACAAAAATTCTGCAATAATAACATAAATATCCTTTATTATAACAAAAAGGATAATGTGAAGAATATATTGCTTTGATGAACACTTGTCATACCAGACAACAGATAACTATCTTATATGATTAAAAGAAACGTGTTTTGACAAGCATTTTGTTATAAATGAAATAAAACGCATAGGTCGCATATAAAATAGACAAGGGTGATTCAAGTATGATAAGAAATTGTTGACAATGTTTAATTTAAAAAAACAGCTTCTGTACACAATGCATGTTATTTTCTGTAAGCAACAACTCAAACTAAATGAAATGACGGTGATCAGTGGTATTGAAGCTGTATATCAAATACATCTTTCAAAAGACAAATTTAAATGGCAGGAGACCTATAATTCAAAGAATCCAGTATTCAAGTGGGGAAAAAAGTGGAACCACCCAAGGAGACAGATCTTAAGATACCACAAAAACAATACGAATCATTCACACTGAACGATCGTCAAGGATGGTATTAAAATATAACATTTTGCATTTTTTATAGGAACATATTTTAGAGCCGCCATACAACACAGACAGCGCAGAAATCATTCACATCTTAAACTTGCGGATGTTTATAAATTCAAAATTTCATCATTTTGTGTTTTTAATGTTGAATTCTGCTTAAGCCGGTGCTAGGGGGCGTTGACGGTAACTTGCACTTTCCAGTACCGTCCATGAACAGGCTCTATCAAACTGAGCCTGCAACATTTTACAATTTTGCTGAGTTGGGCTTTCTTTAGGGATTCTGTTGTTTTCTACTCTATTACACAGTAGAATTTAAATGTTGATTGATCGGCTTTATTTAGCCTGTGTTACGCACGACAGTGGAATATACAAGATATCTTCTACACCTTCTACCCCTAACAAATGTTTAATTTATAAAACAAAGATAACTAGATTTAACCTTAAATGTGTCACTCATTTATGTATTAATATAAATGCGACAAAAAATGTGCATCAAAAACAATTGGTTAAACTTAAATATTTTGATTATTGAAACGTCTCGTAGCTCGTTTGCTTAATCTTCTATTTACAAGTTCGCTACCAGATTGGTATCACCTCAAAACAAAAATGATATAATATAATTTGCAAAATAACTGTTGTTTAATATTATAAACTCTGTTTTCTACTTAATTCGCTCTGTAGATTGCTTAGAAAATAGACAGATTACAGACAATTAATTTTAGGATTATTTATAGCGGTCCTTTTCAACTTTGGACAAAAATGAATTTCCTTTTTACTACCCGTTGCCTTATAAAATTTTCCTTTTTTTATTGGGAGGAATTTCCCCCCTTCATGATATTTAGGTTTCAAAAGAATTTTGAAAAAAATTTAAAAGTAATAAAAACGTTAATGAAAATATCTAACCTTGGAAACCCCTTAAAAACAGCAAAAAAAACATGAACATTTCAGAATCGGGTTTTAAATTTCTGTAAAATGAGGGGTAAAGAAAAAGGGGGAACATATTTCCCCGCCCCCTTAGCCCCCGGTTTTAAACCCTTTTAAGTGGGAAAAAGATTTTTATTCATTTTTAGTTTAAAAAATTGCCCCAAATATGATAGTTTAAACATCTAAAAAAACCCCGATTTCCAAAAAAAATTTCCTTTCAAAATAACCCAACCCCCTTTCCCTTTCCCCCCCCAAAACCATCCCCTGCTGGGTATAAGAACAAACACCCCCCTTTAAACAAATAGGGGGCCCCCCATATCCCCGGGTTTTGAAAAATAACAAAAATAAAGACAACAAGGAAAACAACGTTTAAAAGGACCCGCCCCCCACACACCCAAGGACACCCAGAAACACCCCAAAAAATAACCCCGGAGTGGACCCCACGACAAACCCCAAAATTTAAATTTTTTTTTTTTTCCCCCTTTTCAAAACTTTTTCCCAACCCTTTTTGAGTTTTTTACACAGAATGAATTTGGGAACCCCAAATTTTTTCCCCCAAAATTTTTTTAAAGGAGTGCAAAATAAGGGGGAATTTGCCCCCTCTTGTAAAAACATAAAATTGGCCCCTTTGGGGGCAA